AAAGTTTCGACGGATGCAGGTACCAGAATAATGCCAGGCAAAGGATTCCAGGCGTAAATCACCCTGCTGGAGTAGAAGAACTTCTGTATTTGGCCTGGCGCTAGCCACACGTATTTTGAACAGATGAACTCACAGGCTCATATAATTGCTTACTCGAAGAAGTATCCGGTACAAGACAGCGGTCCTGACTGGACATGATGCCGAATGGTTGTATCAGGTCACCTCGTAGCTGCCTCTACCTCAAAGGATAGAAATGAACATGCGACCATTTTGTTATGTCAGATAGCGGACTCTGTTCAGTTACAAGTTTGCTTGCACAAGGTTGAATAGTTATGAAGATGCTGAGGCCCATATCCGATCACGGTCTTCATGTTTCAGCAACGAACGCCAGTTTAGTTCGCATACACAATTAAAAGACTTACGCGAAACAGTCTTCATCAGAAGAAAAGAAGGCAACTTTCACGAATTAAAGTACTGACATCGTGGACTTGGCTACTTGTGAATAATCGGGCGATCGTTGAAGTGAAGTCGTGGTCCGCACATGTAAATCTTTCTTGGCGGCGACCTCTTGCAGTGGTAAGCAACTCAAGTGGTATATCGTGCGGTTCGGAGGTGTGATTTCGCTGATTCGCAGGAAGTTAGACTTGTTCACGTTAAACGATAAAAGTCGGTTATTCAACCATTGCCCGAGTTGGTTTGGGTTTGTCTGCAAATTATCTTCTTTAAATTCAACGCTGCATTTCTTAATCGAATCGGTGAATAGGGAAAATCATAATAGAGTCCACGGACTCAGTCGTTGACACATGAATTAAACAAAGACCAAGAACGGAGTCCGGGAGGCCAGAGTATTGTTTGACAATCAATATCGCGTAATCAGTAAGAACTCATTCCATGCGCATTTGCTATTCAAGCAGTTGAAAGCAGACCCGAGATGTACCTTAAGTGCTCCGGGTCCGGCCATCTTCACAAACGTATACATAATTGTTCTGAGGGCGCCGTTGGAAAAACAAGAAAGAGGAAGCCTTTCAGCCAAGTTTTCTAATTGCTGTTCTACAGCAATATATGGGTAGCCACTTCATAGGACTGCTGCGCTTATTTGGCCACGCTTCATGCAAGAACAGAAGCTACAACTACTTCTAAAATCGTAGCCATTTTCGGCAGCCTTAAAGCGACGATCACAATTCCTCCTTATCACATAAATGTTAAGAACACTCCTTATACCCTGGAAGCCACCACCACCGTGACCCGCAGCACCATTTATGTGAATTCAAACCCAGCCTCTTCAAATGCCGATTGTACATTCACACCACACATCGGCCACTTGCGCAGCTATCACACAGAGACTGGCGAACCAGCACTGGGAGCACCAACATGAACCTGTCCCAATCACCTAAACTGCCCGTAATGCCGACGTACATTTCTTAACTGAATTGGCTTAATTGGCCACATGCGTATCCACAACAGAGAAATTCAAAGAAATATCGATAGGCCAAGCCCACCTTCTAAATTTGACAACTCTTTCGTCCAGCGCAGTGAACACTAGCGCCATCACCATCACAACTATTATGACCTTTCTGCCACTGCAAATATTCATCAGCCATCAGACTGATCAGTCACTTTCGAATTCATCGCGCTGAGACTGGCGAATCATCATTGCGAGCACCATTATACACCTGACTCCATCACCTCAACTACTTGCACTGCTTATGCATATCCGCTCGCGGTATGAGACTATTTGGCCATACGCGCATCCAGAAAAGAGTTCAGCAAAACATCGCCGGTGAAACCACACCACCGCATTTATCTTCACTATGACATACACTAGATAGTAACCTGTTCCACATCACAAACCCCAGACACGAATTCGATACTGCTCATGTAAATGGGTGTGTGGGGGTATGGGTTCTTCGGT